AACTTGTCAGTAATTTTGAGAGTTTAGAAACAAGGAATTTGCATTTCTTTGGAGATTTTGTTAAAAGTAATCTTATTTTTTGGTTAAATAATGTCAAAATTATCATCTTAAATGAAGTTGATGGGCTTATTTTTCCTGTAAATAAAATAAAACTGAGATAAATGTTAAAACAATACAATTCACTCAAGCATACTGTATCAGTGATCACTTTTTAATTGATAAACATTTCATACATTCTTTCTATTTAAATACAGTAAAGGCAAAAGACGGTCGCACCACATGATCAGTGGTCGCTCCAAATGACATAAAGATCATACAAACAATAAATGACCATACAAAATGTTGAGTTCAAACACATAACAACATTTCAATAACATTTTTGAAATATATTTTATCTCAAACATTTAGAAAACAATACATTTAAAGCAGTACAAATGCATGACTTTTTACAAAAAGCATTTAATTTAACAAAAAAAGTATAGCTGTAGGATATAACGTTGTTAAAAACCATGTATTAACAAATCATGTAATGTTTTACTTTACAGATTTAAGTGAAGTGCACAATATGAACCAACATTTAATTTGATATTATTACCCTTGCTTCAAATGGGTTACAGGATTGCCTATGTTCGGGCCTTTCTTCAACCCCAGGCACTATTGAACTTTACCCAATCTTGGCTGCTCAATTGAGAGAATCGTGAGGTTGCTGGCTCAGGTTCTGCGATGATAGATTGAACATCTTTCCTATCATAGAAAATGATGTCAAGAATTTGTGGCCACATGAATACATTATTTTTACCTGACTGCCGCATGCAGCTAACCTGGACTTCTTCTTCCACAACCTCAAGGACCTGACCTATTTTTTGTACTGGGCATGGAGCTCAGTGAGGGGCTTGGTTAGAACCCTCCTTTGCATTTTGTTTTTGGTGATAGTGTATTTTTTCCCTGGCAACAGACGACTGTTTTCGTCACTGGACAAAAAATGGACAACAGCTTGCTCTCTCAGCTGATATGTTGGGCCCTTTTTGCTTTTTTCCCCCACTTAAGCCCACTCTCTCTCTTGCCATTAACCTATTTCCACTCTTCCGAAATGTTTCTTTAAGTCTTCTCATTTATGCAAGCTGTTTTCTAAGATGTAACACCTGCTTTTTTATTTTATACTTCTCTTTCTGAAGTTTTTTGCAACGCCTTTTTGCAGAAGATGTAGTAACTTTCTTCTTTTCCTCTGGTGTGGAAGATGATGGGGGATGAAAAGTTTCATTTAGGGGTATTGGGTCCACCATAGCTTGTCCTGCATTTTCTGGCTGTTCTTGTTCTACATCTGAAAAGTTCTCCATAGATGGTGGTGTAAGGTCAAGCAAAGGGTTTGCCATATTGTTCCTTTCCCTGTAAGTACTGGATGCAGCCCTCCATTTCTCTCTCTGATTCTTTCTCTCTCTCTCTGACAGCTCACTTGCCTTAACATATGGAATCTTTCCCTGCTGTTTCCTTCTCTGGTAGCTGAAACATATATAAATAAACAAAAGGTATAGCATCATGCCATTTATCTATGATGAATAGCCTATTTTATCTCGGATGGTTGATAGATGACAGAGAAGATGAAAATGTTAACAAAAAAGGCAAAGCAGCAACACAACATACCTTTCTCTTCTCCTTGCAAGGTACTCAGATCTTGCTGCAGGGTCAGAATTAACACGCTGCCTATGGCAAGCCTTTTTTATTTTACTTGACAGTAGCATCTGTTCAAATAGAATAAAACAGTTAAAAATAAATAAATACATAAACATTCATTCATAATGATTACAATAATGTAATTAATTGCTCTAATTTCATGATATATTAACCATAACCCTAATCCTAACAATTGTTTCAAAGACGAATAAAGTTGCATAAAAAGTATTCATAATGAGTCTAAAGTAAAGTACTATAAGTATATAAATCCTCAAATGAATATTAAAGCATAAAAACTGACAATGTATGACATATTTTAATCATAATTACCCTTCTAAAACGGTCGCACCACATGATATTTGGTCACACCAAATGATATTTGGTCGCACCACATGATATTTTCAAGTTGAGTCAAGTTTAACAGACACATATAGCCATAGCTAACTGAGGAAAGCAAGCTAGCTAGCGTTTGAATTGATTAAAGGATTATTAAGGACAAAAATCAATTTCGACAGATTTAGGGCAATTTTAAAGATGTCTTACAAACAGCAGTCAAGTCTGGACGGTCGCAGCACATGACAATTTGACTGTGTAAATAACTGAAATATAATGAATGATTAAAGCTTTTGTAAAAATAGAGGGTGTAGGCTACATAAATATGAAAGGTAATATACATATAAATGGTATCTTTTAAAAGATTACAACTTTTTTTTTACCCAAAAAAAATCAGTTGGACAAAACATTTAGGAGTCATGTCATTGACCCAGATACCAAATATTAAAGGAGTTGAACATACTTATTTTAAGCAAGGACATTATCCATTGAAATGTTAACCAGTTATTTAAAAGTACAACAGTACTACCCAGTCAACCTAAATCAAGGAATCAGTTTAGTATCGTATGGGAATGTCATTTTCTTTTTGGACAGGGTTAAAAGAAAAAACATGATTGGGACCATACTTGCCAACCTTCCCGATTTTCGCGGGAGACTCCCGATTTCATTGCCCTCTCCCGGTTTCCTCCCGGGGTCATATTTCTCCCGCATTTCTCCCGGTTTCTGACAAAATCAGATTTACTCACGACTGTTTCCACTCAGACTTTAATATACAGCTACACCAGGGTTGCCAACTTTGGGTACCTGGCTGGAGTGAGATTTTGATATCATGGGTTTGATTACACATATGCGCACTAAATGACTGCTATCGTGTCAGCAGCGGGACCTTAGCATATATATAGGATATATATACAATATATACAAATACACAATATTGGACACAGATAAAGGGCACAAAGTTTCATTCACTAATGAAAGTCAAACACATGTTTGTTTCCACTGTTTTATTTTGTGCCTGTCGCGATAAGCAATGAATTGACTTATTGTACGATAAATAAAAATGAACTCGATAAATTGCCATTTACATGAGGATGTGACTAGCAGTTTGAAAGGATGTACTTGAATTATTATTATATATTATCATTAGGTTAGTGGTATAAAATGGTCATACAACGGTGCCGACAATATTATCGTTTATCGCAATAATTTCCGGGAAAATGTATCCAACAAAATTAATTATCGTGAGAGGCCTATACATGAAACACACACACACAAATCTACAGACTTACTCCAAACTGCCAAATATGTTAATTAACACACTCTATTTTGGCCTAGTAGAACAATAAGCAGCAGACTTTTACTTTTGTATCATTTCTACTGGTTCTTAGATCTGAGCATGCGCAATACGGGTCGGCAGTTGCGAGAGAGTATTTTTGTTGGGTAATCTATGGTAGGGCTAACCCATACAGTGGTGGGGCTCATGTCAGTATTTGCAATGTAATTACATACCCGCTCCCCTTGACAGTAAAACGCCATGCGTGAGGTTTAGATTATTTCCCTGTCTCAATCCAAATTGAACTGTATGAAATAAAAAGGCACATTTGTCTTGTAGTAAATAAAAAGGGCGACCTGGAGCCAATTCTGCAACTTCCCCACAGGTGAAAGAGTTGACGTGCTGAAAACCCAACCCCTGCATGGGGGTCTGGGGGGATTCTCCCCCAGAAGATTTTTTGAAATACTAACATAAAATACACATTCTGGTACTCTCTTGAGAAGAAAAATAAATACATCTATTACTACACGACATATTTAAAAAAAAAATGAATGCCATTTTAGTTTTTTGTTACTTTGTTCTGAAAGCTGTACCTGCTGCTCCTCACAGAGAGAAGAGGGAAGAGGCTGTGTGAATGACTTTACATTGTAGATAAGGGTGGATAGCCCCCATTGTTCTGTGTGTCAAAATGAACAGCACACACACCTATCAATCATCAAACCGTGGGGTCTTATTTCATTACGTGTTGATTTCTATCAACACGTAATATTGTATCGATGTATATAGAGATGTACGACAGCAAAAGTATTCTCCGTCGGGACTTCGTGCAACAACACCACGCCGTTATCTTGATTCTGATTGGCCAGAAGACATTATCAAAGATGTTCTATTGAGAAGACGATCACTACGTGACAACAGTTTTCAAAACCGTTTCTAGTCTTCGGTATTCTTGTTTTTTGGCGTGAGAATAGTTTGGGCAGCGTGAGAGCGTGAGATTGAGAGTGAAAGCGTGTGTCACACGCCAGATGCGTGAGAGTTGGCAACCCTGCTACACCATTGTTTGGTTTCCATGGTTGCACGTCTCTTTAGGAGCGCGCACAACTGAAAGTCTGAGAGGGTGAGGAAGATTGTCACAGAAAACAGAACAAGAATCGACAACTCTACCCTCTGCTCACTCCTTTCCATATGCTCCATCATCATCAATAGTCTGATTATTTGAACATTTAATTATTGTGTTATTTCATGGTTGGGCATAAAGCATAATAAAGATTCATTAAGAATATTGTATGTCTGAATTTTGGGGAGAACAAGCAGACACAAAGGACTCAGCTGGCTGACTCATTAATATTGAAGAATTGCTTAATGTTTTTATATTCAATACCTCCTATTTGTTTAATAAAACCTGCTGCTGGTTAATGTTTGGCCCAACTGTCAACTGACTCCCAGAGCTGCTATATAAAATTGGGTCATTTCTGACAAATTGTCTGGGGCAAAGAGAGCATTCAAGGTAAGCATGGCACTTTTTTGATATATAAAACAAATCTTTTTATAACTTTAGAAACGTTAGATGTATTGGACTTACATCCATTCGAAAAAAATAAAGTAGGAACGTTGAAACTTGGTGAATTGGTACGACATGTAAACATTTGGAAGTGTAGCTGTTTAAATGCTAAATCGTAACACCCCAACTAACCTCCTCTGATTTTCCCTGGATAGTCTGTAAACATGCGTGGGACCTTTGCTGCTGCTGGCTGCAGCCTGGGCAGGCCACCACCACCACTACGGTGCTGATGGCTCTCACACCCATGAAGAATATGTTAGGTGGCTCAAGCTGTCCTGTTCCAATGCTGACTTTGCCTTTGCCCTTTACAAAAGCCTGAATGCCAACGCTGCTGCTGGAAAGAACATATTCTTCTCGCCCCTGGGCATCTCCACTGCCCTGTCCATGGTGTCCACAGGGGCTGGAAACCGACAGCAGCTGTTCTCCAGCTTAGGCTACAGTGCTCACACCCAGGAACAGGTCAACGAGGCGTACGAGCATCTTTTCCACATGATGAGACACAGTGAAGAGCATCATCAGGTGGATTTGGGTAGCGGCGTTGCCTTTCAAACTGGCTACAGTCCTCTGGAGAAGTTCCAGAATGATGTCAAGGATGACTATTTTGGTCGGATCTTCACCGTTAACTTTACCAAACCAGCTGAGGCTGCGGATGACATCAACAAATTAATTGCTAATAGAACCAACAACATGATCACAGATATGGTGAAGGACCTGGACCCCAGGACGATCATGATGATTATCAACTATGTCTACTTCAGAGGTAGGACACATGCCGTTACATTCTGCCCCTTAAACTACTCAAGAGTTCCTTGTGTAGTTTAAGGAGCTCCAACATGCCATGAATATGTAAGAATAAATCTGAAAGATATAAAAAGAATGCGAGACAATCATATTTTCAACATTTTGTGAAACCACAATGCATTACTTTTACGCTCCTCATACAGGACAGTGGGAAGAACCCTTCGATGCTAACCATACACAGCTGCCCTACAAGGGCAACACCTCCATGATGATCGTCCTGCCTGAAGAAGGCAAGATGAAGGAGGTGGAGGGCTACATCAGCAAGGACTACGTCAAGCACTGGCATGACTCAGTCATCAGGAGGTCATGTTATTATTTTATTTTAAATCTCTTTTCCTTTACAGTCGTAGTAGGTTAACTCAATAACAGTGAGTTATTTTGCAGGATCATAGGGAATGTAATGACGTGTGTTTGGCTTTAACGCTGAACAGGAGTATTTCATTTGAGTTACCTTATCTGGTATGGCTCAAGTTGAGTAAACAAGCTATAAGTGAACTGTTTAATCAAGTAATTGTGACACTGCTGCTGTTCTGTATTTGATCAGGTCTGTGCGTCTGTCGCTGCCAAAGTTCTCCATCTCTGCTGACGCCTCCCTGGAGAGCACACTTAAAGAAATGGACATTTTTGGGAAAACCCATAAAAGCATAATAGGGCTTCTTTAACTAACTAAGATACTGGACAACCAGATCCTCCAAACAAAAATAGAAGAGAAAATGAACAAAAGAGTGAAATCCTAAACTAAGGATGTCTGGCAGTTGAGAGAGACAGAGAGAAATCTGTCTTCCTTCTTATATGGATCATTTGTGAAGATCTGGAGCACCTGAGCAGAGAGGTGATAGAGAGCAAAAAAGGGGGAGCGTGTAACTTAGAGTTAGGGTGCCGTGTCTAAAGCTACAGCTTCCAAAGAAGCAATACAATATTCTCCTTTTACAACAAACACAATACGCTCTTTTTTTTATTTTTAGTAACGATGCAATCCAGCTAGTAATCCCCAACTGTTATAAATGTAACGTAAATGTAAGGGAACAGCTACATTTTTTTTCGTATCCTGATTAGGTAATCCCGTTACATGTTATCCATTACTTCCCAAACCTGTCTTTGGGACATTATATATGTTTTTTCTATTGTATTTGTTTCTATTTGTTTTTGGTAAAACATGCTTGTGTAATAATGCGTCACATTGTCAAGTCTTATTGATATTTGTTGAATGTGCCCTCATGTTATATGTTATTACCAGGCATGGATTGACATACGTCTCTGTTTAGCCATGTGTTGCAACATTAAAGGAAATGTTACTTGCCTGCACAAATGCACAACTAAACCACACATTCAAAAACAATCTGACAATAATCTGATTGAGACTTCTAAAGATGGCATAATGTATTTAGGTGTTACAATAGTCAGTGAAGACAGATATGGTTTGTTTTCTTATGTAAACCACAGCACACTTCCACAGGCCTTTAATCATTCATGATAAGATACAGTTGAAACAGTTGAGATGTGATGATTGAATTATATTTCATCAGGAATCTAAGGACCAATGACAGGAGTGACTTTAAGCTGCTTGCTAGTGCAATGTTTGTGGCATGCATTCCCTTTGTTAACTGGTGAAGAAACAACAGTCCAATTTGTGAAGCCTAGCAACTTAACTTAAACACAAAATCTTTGAACTTCACAATTATAGATCAAGCTTCAAACATGCGTATTTGGTAGTTTACATTTCTTTCCTGTCATTAGTTTAAAATGCTACCTCAAGGACATAAGTGTGATTTCACAGTTCAACTCTTGAGATGACATTTAATGTCTGCTCAATAAACCATAAATCCTTTTGAGTAAGCTAAAAGAGATTCACCTCTGTAAAAAATATATTAGTAAATGCATTACTATACAAAACATCTACTATACAAAATAAAGCATTGAGAAACTTAAATAAAAGGTGATAGATACACAACCCAAAGAACAGTAACGACAATGTGCACTCAGAAACCACAAATAATCTTAAAAATGTGATAGACAGTTGAGGATTAAATTTGTCAAAGACGTCAATTGGATAAAAGTTGGGTTGAAAGTCAGATTTCTAAAATGTCCAAAGGTGAACCTCAATTGATTTTAAGGTGGTAGTATATTAAACATCTGGTAATAGGGAGGGCTCACTGCAGGGTGACTCAGAAGTTCATTTGAGGTAAGATGAAGTAGCAGTACAGCAGGATCCACAGGAGCAAGAGCATTTCCAGCTCTAATGGGGTTATGCCACAAAAGGCTGCTGGAGATTGAAAAAGGAATCCTCTTTCTCTGTTGGACAGAAGATAAAACACAGAGTGTTAGTTTCAGGCTAAAATCAGGCACTTCACGTCTATGTTATAATAACTGAATTAAAGCCTTAAACGACGATAACAATTACATTTTTGTAATGCTAATTCTGTAGTTTAGGCTAACTATGTCATGCTCTTTATTTGGTTTGGTAAAGTTACACTCTTGCAACTAATACTTGTATGACGTATTATTATCTACGAATTTGGAGAGGTTTTTCAAGGGGAAAAGAAAGATCTGCCCTGTTTTCCCTCATTAACAAGATAATAACCTCAGAAAAATATACAATGACAACATTCCTCCTGATTCTGAGATAATGATCTTGTTAAATCAGAAAATGTAGTTATATCTTAGCATCACATGGTATATGAAGCTTTTGAGACCATATTTGAGATCCCTTCTAATGGGGTCTTGTTATCTAAAACAGTATTCTGACAGAAGAATGAAAATGTTAACATGAAGCGGAAGGTTTCATCCACCTCACAGGTAGTTCTCAGTTTTAGCGTAGCATTACTAGCATCAGTTGTTATTGCAGCCAACAAAATATATGTTGTTTATCTAGAAATGAGAATACTTCTGCTTCTCTATGTTTCTGTGTTAAATTGAAGACCCATTGTTTTAAACATTTTAAATAACTACAACTAATATAATTGGGAAGCCTGAAAAATAGTTACTTTTCTAAAGTGCTTGGCTAATGGTCAACCCTGCTTGTATTTTCAAATCCTAATTGACATAACCTACCCGAATAACCAAGAAGTTGCACTGGAGGCAGGATGGACGTTAACACCTCCGTTGGTGTTATTTTTGGGGGCAGTTTTGGCAGGATGGTCTCCTGTTGTTGCCTTAATGACAGCAAGTTTACATTTCTCAGTCTTAATGTCTCTGTCGTTAAGCTCTGCAGTTTTGACTTTCTCAAAATCCATTGGATTCATGACTTCATCATTGTACTGTGCCTTGTTTTCTTCTTTAGAAGATAAATTATTTATTTTTTGGGCATTGTATTTCCCATAATATTCTTCTTTTGAGTTTGTTGTAGTTGCATCAGCTCTGCTGACTTCATTTACAGCCTTGTCAGTTATTATGTTACCATTTTCTCCTACCTTGGCACTACCTCCCCACTTTTCCCTCTCTTCCTCCTTTACATTATCCTCTTCAACTCTTTCTTCCCCCTGCTGCCGTTCCTCAAATGTCACCCCATGTTCTTCCTCTTCACTTTCAAGCACCTTTTTGCTCACTTGTCGACATTTTTCAAAAAGCCCTTTTTCAGTGTCTTCCTCAACCTCTCTATTCCAACTAGCGGCTTCGAAAACCCTTGTGTTCTTGGATTCATCTATAAGAGCATCCCTTTTATCATGTCCATGCATTACAAATCTAGCATTTTCTGTCTTCTCCCTCTCTTCCTCAGAGTCATCTCCAGCGTCATTACTCTGTCCTCTAACAACTCTCTCATCTTCCTGTTCCTCCCTGCTGTCTTCCTTTGGTTCTATATCAAATGCAGCTATGCTGTCTGCCACCTCTGTGGAACTCCTTTCATTTTTATCCCTATCAAACATCCTATGAGCCACTGACTGATCCCTGACTTCTGATGCAACATGTTGCAATAGGGAATCTTCTTGATGTGTACATCCACTGCCGTTTAAAATCTCACATTCTTCCAGATGTTTTGATTCAGCATGCTCTCCATTCAGAAACATTTCTTCCTCTGTTTCCTCTTCAACCCTCGGAACTTGTTTTTGTATCTGATTATATGGTTGAAAAACCTCTTTATTCAGATCAAGTATGTAGCTGTAGGCATCCTCCTCGTCTGAGTCCAGTGCCGACAAGCTGTAGATTCCTTCCTCTGAGCTCAAAGAAAAGTGACTTTCGTCCACCCTTGGCTTGCTGTACTCCTGATCCGCAGGTGCTTTCTCCATCCATGATCGGATATCCTGGTTGGCAACGCCTGCATCCAGTGGACTGGGAGGCCGTAAAATGCTTCGACTCCTGCTTTTCGATTGGTTGAATGGTGACGTGGTTTCAGTTGTGTGAAGTGAGGTGGCACAGGGGCTCCCTTGGGATCTCCTTGCCCACCGTTTCCAGAGTAGCTGTTCACTGCTCTTCTTCATGCCCTGGAGCAATGCTTGGGCATCTGGGTCATCAGCGAGAGTTTCTCCAATACTGACAGACTCAAGTGATCCAAAATGTGGGATATCAGGAACTTCCATATCTGTTGTATCATCCTGTAATATAGGGTTTATTAGTGATGGTACACAATATGACTATTAACTCAGAAAAAAAGTGGTTCATAGTGTTTGTGAATCAGTTTGCTTTGAGGGTCAATGGAAGAGTTTGACATTTTATGAAATTAGCCGTTTCTCTTTTTTTAATGAGCGTTTTATGATAATTAATGTCCACATAGATATTCAGCTATGAAGCTATATCCAGCAGCTGTTAGCTTAGCTTAGCGTAAAGACTGGAAACAGCTAGCCTGCAAAGTCCCAACGTAACAACAACTGCCCACCGGCACCTCTCCAAGACTGCACCCAGCAAAGTAATAGTCCTGCACATAATCTCTGGTCAAGACAAAAAACTATGATTTTAAACTTTTGTTTTTTTATTTATTAAACAAGAACTATATAATTTAATTAGAGAGGCTAGGCTTGGAGCGAGCAAGGCAAGATGTTTCACTTGTATTAATGCAAGCTAAGCTAAACTAAACTAAACCAACCAACTGGTGGTAACTATATATATATATATATATATATATATAAAATACTTAAATGATAGTAATATAAATGTTCTCATTTGACTTTCAGAAAAAAATATAAAGGAAACATTTTTGAACTATTCACTGCCGTACTAACCTCGTCTTTGTCTGGACAAAACCTCAGGAACATCGACACATAGGTGATGATGGACTGTTCATCTGGTGAAGTGCCTGACACATCTGCAAATAGAATAGTTTCCGTTTGTTAGCGGGTTATTTCACCACACTGAATATACTCAACCACAATTAAAGTCCTGCATTAAGAATATCACTTAGGAAAAACATATAGTATACTTTTGAAAATGTATACTCTTCAAAAGAATAAAAAATATAAGTACTTAATGCATTAAAGTCACTGTAATACTATTGTATATCTTATAATTATTATTACTTATGCAGCAATGTAAAAGCACAATTTCACTGTTGAAGTTTGTTCAGCTGGAGCATATTTTAACTATTTTGTATGAGAAAAATTAAATCAAATTTGGTGAAATCAAAAGTAGAAAAGTGCATTAAAAGAGAGTACCTCAAATTAAAATGTAAAGGTGCTCAGGTAAACATGCTTCCACTATATCGTCATATAATGTTCTGAATAACAAATTGCTAACTAAATGTACTGAACATTCCAAACCTGCCAAGGAGATCATCCTGCTGGGGCCACTTTTGGGCTCTGTGTGATACTGCAGATATTATAAAATTGGCACTACACACAGCAAGGATCTCTGCTGCTTTAAGTGAGGTCTTCTAAATGAGTCTGCAATGAGACAAGTGCTTCTGATTTATTCCTAAAGCCCTTTGAAAGGGGAGATCATTACACCATAATGGGCTCTAAGCACATACTTAGTGTAGTACTGTCTATGAAGAAATATATTTGTCTTAGTGGATATAAATAAATGAATGTGAGGCACTTTCTATTCAGTAAGCTTTTACCTTCAGGCTCCAGCAGAGGTGGTATGTCCAAATTGTGATGGGCTACCATGAAGGCCAGCTTAATGTTTTCTCTTGGCTCTCTGGACAGGCTCGCCCTTAGGTCAACCAAGGCTGTGTTTATGGACTTTATCATAGCGAGGAAGGCCAGCCCACTCCTCCAGCTCCTCCCAAAGTCATGAACCTCCACTCCAAACCTACACATTTAAAATTGCATTTAATTGAAAAATCACACAGCCAGTTCACACATGCTTGAGTTTGGGAGCCTTTTTACTGCAAAAATGACTTTGTAAGCAGTTGGATCTTTTTCAGACTCACTTTGATGTGCATCTTTGGACCCATCGCAGTAGAGTCTTGATTGCTTTCCCATGGTACTTTAGCTCTTTGGCAGCCTTTTTGCATTTGCTTGGCAGGGTGCTGCAGAAATAGCTGCCAATGTCATTTGGCGGGGGCGAGAGGTCGCTGGAGGAGGGGTAACTGCTCATTGATAAGGAGGAGAGGCTAGAAGATAAATGTCTCTGGAGGCCTGCTGTCACTTCTTTTACCTGCATTAGAGGGAAAGGGAGGAGTTGATGTAAGGTCAGCAACAAAGACAAATTGCACACAAGGAGTGAAATTATACATTAAGACATTAGCATTATAGATAACGGGGGACAAAACCTGCCTGGAAATACAGGATCATGTTCCAGACAAGGTTAAGAACAACAGAGGGAATCCCATCAGCAATGCCAGAGGCATCGATGCCAAGCAGCTTCACCTGAGAGACAACATGGAGGAGACGTCAACTGAAATCTTGTTTATCAGGATTAATGTTATTGTAATAGGCCACACATGAAAGCACTATCAATTGATTGATTTACAAACGAAAAACACTAACATGTCTATCATCCAGGAAAGCCAGGGCCTTGGAAATGTTGTTCAGTCTGAAAATGCGGTGGGAAGAAGACCTAAACCTGTAAAGCTAATAAAAACATTAGAAAAGGAACATTAAGGATAGTCCAATAGCGACGCTTGGTCAGGTTCCTTTGGCGTGCAGTTGTGACGCACCGAGTCTCCTTCAGCTTCCTAAACGGACGCACAGAGCTTTCAACTGATTGCAATGTATTCCCATCGGCGGCGGTATTTGACGCTCAGGGAAGCACCGCCTCGGTCCATGTCGGCGGCTGTTAAAGGCAATGTGAGCATCCATTCCCATTGGATAACGGAGAATTTTACACCCGGAAGTAAGTATTCTCCTTACTGTCGATTGATTTTACAGTGATATCTGCACTACTCATCAACTCAAAAACACCAGATTATCCTTGTTAATTACACAACATTGATTGGTTTAAATTGTGTAAAATGCTTTTGTATTTTTCCCCTACGATTCGGAGAAACAAATATTTTTTCGGAGTTTAGGATGGCAGAAGACACTACACTACCCATAATCCTCAGCTATCGTTTAGGACTACACCAGCCGCTTTGCATGACAAACCCTGTGATTAGTCCTCAAGCTCTGTGATTGGATGTTGGAGTGGCAGTGCGCGAAGTTTACGCCGAGTGTCAAACAGCACTTTGAAATGGAATGAAACCCATCGATGGCACACTATCCAAAACTGGACTCGAACGTGTCCATCGTAAGTGCTTCAACATAGTTAACATTGCAGAAAAGTTGATTGTCAAGTCCCAAAACAAACCATGCAATATATCAGACTTAATATGTATCTGTAGATACCACCAAAACTTTTTGCTTACATGTATTTAAAAGAAGACCTTAACCTAAAGTATTATTTAATGTTTTAATAAACCCTAATTAGTTTCTCTGTTTTGCACCTCCTGCTATTCATATCTTTGTACATCCTAAACTAAACTAAACTAACAGTACTAAATTGTTTTATTGTAGAGAACATTTACAGTACCTTCTTGATATTTTCTATTCTATATTTCTATCATTGACCTTCTACTTTCCTCCTAATTTGTATGTACTCTTAATATTTAAATGTTTTCATCAAATATAACACATTCAACAAAACATGCAGCAGACCTTAGGCAAGGCAAGGCAAGGCACGTTTATTTATACAGCACCTTTCAACACAAGGCAATTCAAAGTGCTTTACAAAAATGAAAGACATTAAGAAAAAGGCATTTAAAAACAGTAATTAAAAAGCAACACAATCTACCTGTATTGCAATTACTCTAAACGTATAATAACGTGCTTTAACCAGTAGGTGGTTCGGGTTAAAAAGCTGTCAAGTTTACAGTGTTAACCAGAGGTGTGGACTCGAGTCACATGACGAGTTTCAAGTCATAAAATGTGTGACTCGAGTCTGACTCGAGTCACACATTTTATGACTTGAAACTCGACTTGACAACATCACAAAAAACTTGCGACTCGACTTGGACTTGAACACCAATGACTCGGGACTTGACTTGGACTTGAGCCTTCTGACTTGAGGTGACTTGCTACTTTAATTCAGAGGTCTCCAACACGCCGATCGCGAGCTACCGCTAGAAGAGCAGACTCCCGTCGGGGAAAGCAGAATCTTCAGCCGCTCCTACTCTTGCTGAGAATCCTTGCAGGCAGGGGCGGGTCTTTATTTAGCTGGCCCACCATGCGGCCAATCATATGCGAGGACACACTAGGATCATACCATTATGTGAAAGAAGGGTGGGGGGCACAGCATGTGTAGTGGTACAGGCCAGCTGCACAGAGCGACGGGGAGACGGATTTAAATGCAAGCGCATCGGAAAAAGTCAAGTAATGAGCGAAAACCGAAAAAAGAAGCAGCATCTGGCTGCTTTTCAATGATATTGGAGAAAGCAAAGCTGAGTGCAGGATTTGTAAAATGAAAATAACCTTCAGAGCAGGGTTTTTAAGGCCTTAAAAAGGTCTTAAATATGATTCAGAAGGTCTTAAAAATTATCGGATTTGAAAGATACTTCTATCTTGCGATAGCGTCTAAATGTGTTTTGGGGGAAATGTCCGGGCTGCAAAGTAACCAGTACGGTAATAGCCTTTCAGTTCCCCCGAACAATTTGTATTGAATTAAATCAACATGGAACCAGTAATCACTAACTTTGTTTCCCCCGGCCCCTTATTGGAGAACACCCAGCTAGTAACCCAGCAACCAAGCTTCAGCTCATGTAGCCTATCTTCGAATCTACTTACAAATAAATATGGGGAAGTGTAAGTTCAACCGTATTTTGTTGGAACACATCTAATTTAGTGCTTGGTTGAAACCAGTGGAGGGAACGTGTTTGAAGCCCGCTGCACCTTTTGCAAAATAAATTAGCGTTTGTTTTGCTAATGTAGCGTTAGCTAGTGGAGTGTTAGCTAGTGCAGCAGCTCCCGCAACAACACCGGGGGACCTCCGGGCGAAGTTTGGGTCTACGTCAACCCTAAAAGCGGAGGTGCTGTAGACGCTAAATACCGTAGCTAAACACCAATCATACAACAGCAACGATGAAATAGTGTAGCCAAGGCAGCAGAGCTCTGAATATAGCTCACTCTACACACACACACACACACACACACACACACACACACACACACACACACACACACACACACACACACACACACACACACACACACACACACACACACACACACACTAGGGCTGCTCGATTATGGCAATAATCAAGATTATGTTGGTCAATAATTAATATCACGTTTATTAAATATGATTATTCATTGACTTTGAAAACATCCATTTATTGAACTTTAAAACAAATAATAATTTGAACAGTATATTTTTAACTGTTGATTACCCTGAACGTATAATTCAACTGAAAAACTAATACAAAAATTAATTAAATAAATGATACATTACTAAAAAATTCATTAGATCAAATATGTTGTGGTGCACTGTCACAACCTAGCAAAGCAAAATAATCGTTTTTCCGATTATGTTGTTTTCGTAATTGTGGCAGGCCAAAATCGTAATTGCGATTAAAATATGATTAATTGCACAGCCCTAACACACAGACGCACACACATACACACTTTTTGTCTAACACGCTAACACAGTTCTGTACTATTACGCTGTTGTGTTCAGTCATTGTTCTTATGTTGAACATGAATACATTTACTTTGTAAGTGATTATGGGACGTATTTCTTCTTTATATACATTTTCCTTCATACTTTATTGCCGTGAAATAGGTCTTAAATTCTATTCAAAGTGGTCTTAAAAAGGTGTTAAAAAGTCTTAAATTTGAGTTGGCGAAACCTGCAGGAACCCTGTACAATAAAAAGTCCTGCATTCAAAATGTTACAAGTAAAAGTACAAAAGTATTAGCATCAAAATATACTTAAAGTACCACCTGCAGAGGGATCTAGATTCAGGTGTTCTTTTCCCCATAGAGACCGCCTCGCTGCACATTATCCCTTGCATAAAGATAGATTGTGGGTCCCTTATAACATGTTGTACACAGTGGAAATAAACATTCTGGTTACCTCAACATCAGGGATCTTATACATTAAACTCCTTCTGAATCAAACCGTCACGGTAGCCTTACCTTACTGATCCCTCTTAAATTAGAAAAACACACGTTACTTTACCAGCAGAGAGAAAATGGATTATTAAATTATTAATGTGACTAATAAAGAGCATTTTGATTATTAAGTATTATTCTGTTGATCGATGTCATTACATTTGGTGAAAAACACATAATGACTTGTTTATGACTCGTTTTGTCAAAGTTTAGGACTTGACTTGACTTGAACTTGCCCATCCTGACTTGAGACTTGACTTGGACTTGCAAAACAATGACTTGAGACTTGACTCGGACTTGAGCGCAAAGACTTGAGACTTGACTCGGACTTGCAAAACAATGACTTGGTCCCACCTCTGGTGTTAACCTTTATATATTCTATGGTGTTAACACAATAAAATATACTGCTATTTCCGGTTTAGTTTACGACGGATATATTCGACGACCACATATATTGTTTTGATATTTGTAACACAAAAGCGATGGGAAAAACCCACAGCAACACAGAAAAGATGGTCTTAACATGACCCAGTCCTCTAGTTAATACAAAATAATAATATCAAACAAAATATTACTATTATCTTTATTGTGAAATTAAAACAGAACTGTAAAATAATAGTTTCCGGTCTATTCTGAGGCCCAATCTCTGTAGATAAATAAAATAACTAAGCCAGATGTGTAATATGTAATGCCGCCGAACCATTTATTACAATGCATTTATGTGATGACTTTCAAAGAGTAAAGCAAGCACTGCTGAATAAAGTATGATTTAATCTTTTACGAAACGTTTTTTTTCATATGGAATACAGTCGGAGGTCAACCAATCACAGAGCTTGAGGACTAATCACGGGGTTTGTGAAGCAAAGCGCATGGTGTAGTCTCAAACGATAGCTGAGGATTATGGGTAGTGTAGTGTCTTCGGCCATCCTAAACTCCGATACAGCTATTTGTTTCTCAGAGTCGAAGGGGAAAAACACAAAACCATTGCACACAATTTAAACCAATCAATGTTGTGTAATTAACAAGGATAATCTTGTGTTTTTGAGTTGATGAGTAGTGCAGATATCACTGTAAAATCAATCGACAGTAAGGAGAATACTTACTTCCGGGTGTAAAATCCTCCGTTATCCAATGGGAATGGATGCTCACATTGCCTTTAACTGCCGCCGACATGGACCCATGCGGTGCTTCCCTGAGCGTCAAATACCGCCGCCGATGGGAATACGTTGCAATCAGTTGAAAGCTCTTTGCGTCCGTTTATGAAGCTGAAGGAGACTCGGTGCGTCACAACTGCACGCCACGGGACCCTGACCAAGCGTCGCTATTGGACTATCACCTTACGTCCACACGGCGCCGTGCGTTGAAGTTTGCTGGCGGGCGTGTCTTAAGCTCGACCAACAACCAATCACATGAATCTCCCGCCCCGGACACACAAGCACGCGGTTTGATTGGCTAGAGCTTGTACTGGCATATGATTCGATTGGAGT